TGCTAATCCCAGAGCTACTCAAATGGAAGTCATCTTCACAACTTGAGAGAAGATCTCATCAAAATCAATTCCCTTCTTTTGCCCAAAACCTTTGACTACCAAGCGAGCTTTATGCTGCAATATTTTACCATTGCCATCTTTCTTCAATTTGTACACCCATTTGTTTTTGAATGACTTCTTACCCTTTGCAAGTGAAACAAGCTCATAAGTATGGTTTTTCTACAAAGAACTTATATCCTCCTTCATGGCTTGTATCCAGCAATCTTTCTCTGTATGACTCTTTGCTTTCGAAAAATTCTCAGGCTCTCCCTTATCAGTAATCAAAATATACTGAGAAGCGGGATATTTGGTTGATGGCAGGACAGCTCTTCCAGATCTTCGCAACTGAGGCCCAGTTGCCTCTAGTTGAGGGGGTTGCTCCCCTGATCCTCTTCATTCGAGTCTTCATCTCTTTCCTCCTGATCCTCAATTTCTGGCATAGGATCCTGAAACTCTGGCACTTCTTGTTGTACATCATCACATCTATCATTTTGTGATGGCTCGGTAGATGGGAACAAGTCTGGAGTGATGACATCTCTAGACATTGCAGACTTTTCAAAATTTGTTACTGTTTAGTCTTTCTGGAGCACAACATTTCTGCTCCTGAACATCTTCTTGTTCACTAGGTCCCACAACTTGTACCTAAATGTTGTATCTGAATAGCCAACAAATATACATGGAGTGGACTTGCCATAACGCTTCTGTCTGTTTTCCTTGGAGATGTGTGCGAACGCCTTACACCCAAAGTCTCTCAAGTGAGAATATGATATTTTTCATCTGGACTAGACTTCCTTAGGTATCGCTAAATTCAACGGGATTGAAGGTGACCTGTTGATAAGATAATAGGCTGTATGGGCGGCTTCAGCCCAGAATGACTTTGGCAACTTTGTCATTCTGATGCATCTGACTCTTTCAATAATAGTATGGTTCATCCTTTCTGTCACACCATTGTGTTGCGGGGTACTGGAAACTGTTGTCTTGTGTCGAATACCTCTGCTAGTACAATATGCTTCAAAAGTATTGGAAGTGTACTCGCCACCATTGTTTGTGCGAAGACACTTCAACTTCTTTACGGTCTCTCTTTCCACCATTGCATGGAAATCTTGAAAGTGCTGGAATACCTCATTCTTCGTCTTCAGGAAATACACCCACAACTTCCTTGATCATCATCAATGAAGGTCAGAAAATACTTGCAGCCGCCAAGTGACTCTACTTCGATTGTGCCACAAATATCCGAGTATACCATACTGAGCACTGCTATTTTCCTCTTGCACGTTGAACTGAATAATACTCAATGCTACTTGCCATAAAGGCAATGATCACACGGCTTCATGGCACTCCCTTTGGATAAAGGTATCTTGGATTGATTTGCCAACAGATGCAATCCCTTTTCACTCATGTGAGCCAGTCTTCTATTCCATAAGTCTGGTGACTCCTTGTCTTCTACTGCATTAAGACTTCCCTGACAGATCTTCGTTTGAGTCTTGTACAGTGTTGAAGACATCTTTCCTCTGACGATTGTCAAAGCTCCTCCTGTCAACTTCCAATGACCATTTTCGAATGTACTTGTATGGCCCAGTCGGTTCAGGGTGCTTTCGAAGATAAGATTGAGGCGCTAATCTGGAATATACCTCACATCTTTGAGAACCATTTTGTGTTCAACATTAGTCTGAATACTAATGTCTCCAATGCCCACAATCTTCAAATAGCTAGAATTTTCCATTCGAACATTGCCAAAATCTCCAACGTTGTACGAGCTGAAGAGCTCTCTGTGGGAAATGGCGTGATAGGATGCAGCTGTGTCTATCACCCACTCTGTATAGTTATGGTCAGCCACGTGAAGGCAATCCTCCTTTTCACCAACTGCAACAAGTATTTTATCAATTGTTGTAGCTATCTTATTCTCCTCTCCCTTTGACTTACTGCTTTGGCCTTTATCTTTTCAGTTTGGACAGTTCCTCTTTATGTGACCTTTCTGGCCACAGTGAAAGTAAGTAAAGCTAGAGTTACCTTGACTTTTACTGTCTCTGGATTTACTCTTGTTGTTCCATCTGCCTCTACTCTTGTTTCTTCCTCTACCTTTGTCTCTACCTCTATCTTCTGTGACAAGAGCATGGGACTGATTACCTCCCATGTCTTTCCTTCTTGTCTCTTCATTGTGTGTGGTGTCTGTGACCATGCTCACGGTCAGCTTCCCCTCTAGTGCAGAGTTACTAAGAGAAACCACCAATATCCCCAACTGTCTGATAAAGAACTGAGCAGTAGAACGGCTTGCATTTCATCATCCGAGGGTATCTTGATAGTTACAAGTTGATTCACCAGATTCTTGAATTCACTAGTGTTCTCGGCGACAAACACATCATTTTTCAACTTCAGATTTACAAGCCTTCTCATCACTAAGGCTTTGTTTCAGGCGGTCTTTGACTGGTACATGTCTTCTAACATTGTCCAAAAGACATATGCATCTGTCTCCTGGGCGACAGGGTGGAACACATTGTGGTCTATCCATTGTCTGATATAACCGATAGTCTTCCGGTTCATCTTCATCTAGTCTTCATCCTTCAGTTCTTCCGGTTTAACCCCTTTTAATGCAATAGGGTCAAACAGGTCTTTATAATATAAGATGTCTTCTATCCGCGGCTTCCAAATTGCATAATTGGAAGGATTTAACTTTATCATCAATCCTGAAATTGATGTCAATTCTTCCATCGTCTTCTTACTTTTTACAAAAACTCTAATTAAAAAATCTGACCGTATGGATCTCTCCGAAATACTCCAAATAGTTGGAAACCACTATTGGCTCGCCAAAATTAGACTTCAAATGGCTCAGATCTAGCCAAAATAAGTTCAATGGTTCAGATCTACGGATGTACCTTAGCCACGTAGCACCGGATAGCCCTTTGCCTTTGGGTCGGATTTGGTTGGGTCAACTAGACGGGTTGACTGGTCAGGTGAGGGGATGACGTGGCAGACACGTGGCACTGCCCTAGGCTGACGTGGCGCTGAGCTGGTGATGACGTGATGATGATGTCACTATTAAGCGCAGAGCACTCGCCTTCTTCCTTCAGCCGCGCGTCTGCCAAGTGTCCGTGACTAGGATAACTTGTTGGCATAGGTAATAATGCGTTAAGTGCATGCCTGTAACTGGGCTTCACTCGCCTCCTTTAGGAGGCGCGTGGGAGCATGTAGTGCCTCGTCTGGGGCTCTTCTTTACAGTTCTAGACTCCTCTCGTCGAGAGCTTCCTTCCAATATGCTCAAAAGTGAATTTCGAGCAACTTGATTTCTAGCAGTTTCTAAAAAACACACCTTGTTTTTCTGAAAATCGACTAAGGAGGCTCTGATACTACTTGTTAGAATTAGGAGCACTCAGAAATCACTCACACAGAAAAGACACAAGATATTTACGTGATTCAGCAATTGCCTACGTCCACAGAGAGATTTCACTATAGAATTTCCCGGAGGGAGATTACAGAACTCACACTCACTTTCTATAGATTTACACACACTCTCTTTGATTCTCTCTTGCTGTGTTTGTGTTGTGTTTCATCCCTTCCTCATCACCTCAATTTTATACACAAATGAGAGGAAACAAAGTCAAGGAAGAGGAGTAATTGGAAGGGCTGCCACCTGCCATCTCCCCTCTTACTTCTTGACTTGGAGCCAACCTCCAACTACTACTCCATGTAGGCTGGAGCCAACAGGATGCACGTAAAGTGCACAAATGGAACCCCCAACTACATCAACCAAATCCAGAGGAAAAATACATGTTAGAAAATATACATGGTTATCTGAACTTACCAGCCCTGACAATACCAAGGAAAAACATAAAACCCATTGAAGGTTGCTCAGATTGACTAGAAACTTGAGTTCCAAGGACAAGAAGCTAGCCTCTTACATCGCCTCATTTTTGTAGTTCAACATTTTGAATAATTGATAATTCAACGTACTTGTCTAACCTGTAATTTTTAATTTAGATTTATCAAGAACTAAAATGGCTAATTCTCAAATTCCTCCATTCTTCTTATTTTATTTTATTTTATTTTATTTTCTGAATGTTCAAAACTAGAAGAGGCTAAATTGATTTCCACTTGATTGTGTCCAACCCAGGCTAACAAGTGCTTTCCGGAAGTAACTGAACTAGTGGATAGTGTTTTCTGTTGCACCGATGTGTCCTACAGGCATTTTTCTTTTTCTTTTTTTTTTTTCTAATCTATTCAACAGTGCTAGGTTTCACTACATTATTGTTTTATTTTTCTGGGTTTTGAGGTACTTGATTCTTTTTCTTGCAACTCCCAGAAACATTACCAGTGCTTATTCCATCTGTTTTAGATTTCTGGTAAAGAAGGATACCCCTAGACTGCAAGTTACTAAAATTGAAAATAAGATTGGCATGCGGATGGTCCAAAATGGAGATATTCTCCTTAAGAAAGTTTTTGTTCTTGATGAGGACAAATTACTTGGTATCAATTCTTTCCGGGACACAAACAAAGTATGGCAACAAATGGGGTTCTATTAACTGTGTTTTCATGTATCAATTCCTTGGTTATTATATTAATCTCGATGGTATGATGCTTTGGTCCATTATCATGCCAGCAGTTTATCCTGTGGATAGATTGGCATTGCTAGTTTTGGAGTTTAATTATTTGTCCTTGTTGATGCATGTTGTATTTCAAGTTGTTCCATAGACTCATAATTTATCAATGTAATTTAGCTTTAGCTTATTACTGAGTAGCTTTGTTTTATGTTTTACGGTTTTGTCTTTTTCACCTTTGATTATTTATGTATTATTGTCCTATCAGTCTCTTGACTCCCCTCCCTATCTCCTGAGAGAGAGAGAGAGAGAGAGAATATATATATATATATATTATATTTTTGGTTTTTAGTTGGGGAGGGGGCTACTCTCTATTCCCTTATGTCAATGCATGGTTCTTGGTGGCTTATTTACTCATCTACTTACTACTGTCTGAATACAGGTCCTTGTTTCTGCACGTCTCATGGTTGCTTGGCAACTTATTGGCATTCCAATAGGTGTCTATGATATGTGTCACAGGTATGATATAGCATGGGGGTGTAGACACCCCATTTTTGACCGTCCTCAAGACTTGGTTGTGCTTGCAGGTACACCCAACAACTAGTTTGATTGCTCGCTGAGTACTCGATTTTCATGGTGGAACGTCACAGGTTTGAACTTTCCAAACCCTGTATCCTTCCTGTCCCATTTTTGGACCTTGTATTGGCCCTTTCTGCACGCTTTGTGGAAGGCACTGCTGGCCCCTTTTTGGCCCTGTTGGCCATGCCTTTGCCATAGACGGCCATTGATGATGCCTACCGGCCATCAATGAGCCACTGTCGGCCACCACTAATGGCCGGCAGACCCCCTGTCTCAGCAGGTTTCATGCCAGATCTTTTGAGCCAACTCGTTTTCACTCCTCTCCCCTCCATACACATGTATGGAGGGATGAAGCTCTTGCCAAGCTTGTTTAACAAGCTTCTTCTTGTATTCTTCTATATAAGGAAAGAGCCTTATTCTATATCAGAGGTTGAAATTTTTTTTGAAGGAGTTGTATCTCTATATATATATATATATTGCATAGAATAGTGCTCTAATGTCCATTTTTCTTGCACTTTTGCACTACAACACATAGAGATACACCACCATCTTTGAGCTGAGGTTCTTGAGGGGGTTACTTGAGCTCTGAAACTTGGTTTTTGGCCCCCGAGATTGCAGGTTTCGAAGTTGGTCTTCAAGGGTGAGTTTCTTTCCCTTTTTAGCATTTATTTATACCTTGTTTTGGCCATCCTTGTATATTGTTTTAGGCCTTTCTTTCAACTGAAAAAAGTTCTGTATTTAAGTGCTTTTGAAGTTTGTTTAGGTGTTTTTGGTGTTAGGGGTGTACAACCCTCTTGCATGCTTTGTTTGGCCTTGTTTTGAGCCATACTTTAAGGCCTTTGAGCTAGTATTTGTTTGGCCTTTTAGCCACTGAAATCCAGTGAATTTTCAGTGGTAGGCATGTGGTTTTAAGGTCTCAAATCAAAGGGGGTGGCCCCCTCTCTTCTTGTTTTTGTTTGCTTGTATTATTGGCCTATCAAAAGAGCATATATCCCTTTATTTTTGAGGCTTGGTTCAGGCCTTTTTTGTGACTTTTAGGACCTGCCTTAACTCTGTCCATGGCTGGTTTGGTCATATTTTGCATGCTTCTTGTATGTGTAATGTAATCCCATTTGTGGCTCATCAAAGTAGCATGTTTGCCTAGCTTATGTTGAGTCCATTTCAGCATATTTTTTGTGATGTTTTTCCATGACATAACTCTGTTTAAAGTGGGTTTGGTCATCTTTTGCATGCTCCATATAATTGTAGAACAAATCTTGCTTACTAGCTTTATGTGCATGATGTTTTGACTCATCATTCTAGCATGTTTTGGCTTTGCTCTAGCATGATTTTATTCTTATTTTGGGCTGTTCTAGGACTATTTTGGGCTGCTATGGTCATATCACTCATGTTTTGTATAGCTATAGTGTAAATGCTTTGGCTAGCCTTGGGTTTTGAGGCCCCTACCATGCCATGCATGTGATGTTTCCATGCTTTGCCATCATCTTGAATGTTATTTCAGTCCATGAAATATGGTCATACACCTGCATTTGACATGCTTTCAATGTCTTAGAGAGTTTGTGTTTTATGCCTCATGAATGGATCATTGTGCATGCCTCTATGCTTAGGCCTTTGGGATGCCATCTCAGTGGTTTTTTGGGGTTATTATGCCATGCCTTAACTCTGATTTTTGTTAGTTGAGTCATCCCATGCTTGGTCTTAATAGGTGTAGTGTAATCCACCTTATTTGCCTTGTATGCATCATGCCTCATGCTCTCCATGCTAGCTTGTTTTGGCTTACCTCCATACATGTTTTAGTCTCATATTAACATGTACTAGGACTGTTTTGGGTTGCCCTTGCCATATCCTTCATGCTTTGTATAGTTGTAGTGTAATTGGCCTTGCAAGCTTTGTGTTTTGTTGACTCATGCATGCTATCTTTGAGTTATTTAGATGATTTGGCATCACTTAATACTTCATTTCAGAGCCAATAGCATTGCCATATTCCCACTTCATTCATTCTTTAAGTGTCTTTGAGTATTGTGCATTATTGCCTAGTTTATGGCTTAGCTTGTATGCTTGCGTGCCTAGGTATTTGAACCTTCATCTCAGCATGTTTAAGTCTTTGTTTAGACCTAATTAAGCTCTGTCCATGCTTAATTTATGCATTTGTGCCATGTATTGCATGCCTCCTTTGTAATCTTGTTTGATAGCTCCATGCTTTAAGGACCTTCGCATGCCATACTTGTGTCGTTTGAATGAGTTGGCATCATTTCTTACTTAATTTCAGTGCACTTAGTGTTGTTACACTTGCACATTTGTCACTCCTTAAGCACTCTAGATAGTTGTGCTCTTGGGCCTCTTTGATGAGCCATTGCATTTTGCATGCTTGTATGTGTTTTCGGCGCCATCATCTTAGCATTAATGGCCACTGATTTGGGCATAGTTGAGGTTTGCCTATCTTGGTTTAAGCCCATCCTTGCATGTTGTTGCATGCTTGTCTTGCATATTATTGTATGCTTGCTCCATCTTTGCATGTTGTAGCATGTTTGTCACCTTGTACGTTGTTGCATGCTTAGTTTATCACATGTTTGCATGTCTAGTTTACTTTACATTGTGTATCCTTAGTTGTTGCATGTATTAGTATTGTGCATGCCATTAGCCTTGCTAGGTTGTCCATATTGCATTAGCGTTGTGTATGCCAACCTTGCATTGCATTGTTGTTTGGATTAAGTGTTAATCCGAGCACGAGAAACAAGGGACGTTTTATACTTCAAGTGATGAAACGTGTCTCAATTCTCGGTCGCCGAAGCTCTTTCTTGATTATCCATAATAGAGTTCTAGGCATTTATGTGTTTATTTGTGCATTCATTTCTCATTGATTTTCACAAGTTGGATCTTTGGCCATCATGCATCGGGATGCGTGACTAATGGTCTTGGATCCGACTATGCCTCTCCCTTGATGTTTCGAGGTGATATGGGGTGGCATAGTGCATACATACCCTTGGGAGACCCTCCATTTTCTCTATTTTGTGCTCTGCTGCAGCTTGGTGTCCCAGCACATCAGTGGTCGGCAATGCTCTATAGATGGCCGGCACCTCCTCATCCTTGGCCGGCAGTGTACCATCTTTGGCCGGCAGGTGGTCGGCAGCATCTCCCCATGGCCAGCAGGCCACTGATGCACTCCCCAGCATGTTTTTGGTAAGTTCCAGCAGCAAGTTCTCAAGGACACCCTGCAGACGAAGCCTCTTGAAAGCAACCGGAGAGCTTACCGGGACAGGAACCGAGCATGCATGTTCATCTTCTTCAACTTGCCGAGGCAGCTTTGTTTAATTGCTTACTTGTTAGTTAGCATTTGGTTTTGTAATTTAATTAGTTAATTTGTTAATTAATTAAGTTTTGTAATAATTAAGTGTTGTAGCTAGTTATTCATTCGGTTATGTAACAATTAATTAGCTTGCTAGTTAGTTAATTAGTTGGTTTGTATTATTTATTCGGACCCTCCGTCGAGAGGGCGAATTTTGTAATAAGTGTGCTTGCGTGTGTGAATGTCTTCCAATCCCATGTCTTTCTCCCTTTTACTTAACCGCTTACAATGGTTAGTTTAGGGTCATTTTCAATTAGCATCCTTATGCTATGCATGTTTGCATCATTCATCTGTATTGCATGCACCGGACTCGGCGCATCATACTAACTGCATCGTATTTCAATTCCAATTTGAATACATGTATCAATTATCGCATCTCATATGTCATCTTAGAATAGCCGAGCCTATTTCTAGTTGCATTTTGCATGCATTGCATTAACCATCTTAACATGAACTAGGATTATGCATTGATTACTACCTAGCTATTGTTTTGGCTCGGAGTACTAGGTAAGCTTTTACGCTTTAGCATATTGCATGTGTGTTATTGATTACCATGAAAGCATGCTTGCCATGAGGCTAGCTGCTTAGTTGATATAAACTGCCTGAATGCCTGTGGGTGAAGGTTGGATTACTTGAATTGGAACAATTCATTGAAATCTTCGATTTAGCCTACTTATGAGTAGCAAACTTCAAACCATTTTCAAACAAACAAATATGCAATGTTTTGTTCCAAATTAGGCGATCTAGTCTATATTTATTTGCTGTACGCATCACATAGTAAGATTAGCTAATTAATCGGAATAAGAACACATGTGTTTTCAAAAACAAAATATCATGTTTAGTAGTGGCCGATCTTTGATCGGGCGAGCGGGGGTGCTCATAGATGGGGACGGGGAAATATTCACCATCGGGGATCGGGGACGGTGAGTATGATCCCCGGCCCCGCCCGGGCCCGTTGCCATTCCTAGCCACTGATGCACTCCCCAGCACGTTTTTGGTAAGTTCCAGCAGCAATTTCTCAAGGACACCCTGCAAACAGAGCCTCTTGAGAGCAACCGGAGAGCTTACCGGGACAGAAACCGAGCATGCATGTTCCTCTTCTTCAACTTGCCAAGGCAGCTTTGTTTAATTGCTTACTTTTTAGTTAGCATTTGGTTTTGTAATTTAATTAGTTAATTTGTTAATTAATTAAGTTTTGTAATAATTAAGTGTTGTAGCTAGTTATTCATTCGGTTATGTAATAATTAATTAGCTTGTTAGTTAGTTAATTAGTTGGTTTGTATTATTTATTCGGACCCTCCGTCGAGAGGGCGAATTTTGTAATAAGTGTGCGTACGTGTGTGAATGTCTTCTAACCCCACATCTTTCTCTCTTTTACTTAACCGCTTACAATGGTTAGTTTAGGGTCATTTTCAATTAGCATCCTTATGCTATGCATGTTTGCATCATTCATCTGTATTGCATGCACCGGACTCGGCGCATCATACTAACTGCACCGTATTTCAATTCCAAGTTGAATACATGTATCAATTATCGCATCTCATATGTCATCTTAGAATAGCCGATCCTATTTCTAGTTGCATTTTGCATGCGTTGCATTAGCCATCTTAACATGAACTAGGATTATGCATTGATTACTAACTAGCTATTGTTTTGGCTCGGAGTACTAGGTAAGCTTTTACGCTTTAGCATATTGCATGTGTGTTATTGATTGCCATGAAAGCATGCTTGCCATGAGGCTAACTGCTTAGTTGATATAAACTGCCTGAATGCCTGTGGGTGAAGGTTGGATTACTTGAATTGGAACAATTCATTGAAATCTTCGATTTAGCCTACTTACGAGTAGCAAACTTCAAGCCATTTTCAAACAAACAAATATGCAATGTTTTGTTCCAAATTAGGCGATCTAGTCTATACTTATTTGCTGTACGCATCACATAGTAAGATTAGCTAATTAATCGGAATAAGAACACATGTGTTTTCAAAAACAAAATATCATGTTTGGTAGTGCCGATCTTTGATCGGGCGAGCGGAGGTGCTCATAGATGACCTTCCCCAATCGTACCCAAGTTCCCGAGCCGAGACAACTTTGGTGATGACAGACACGTGGCCTTAGGCAACGAGTCATGGTTTTCTAAATTCTCCCAAAATAAAATATTTAGATGGCGACTCTATATCTAGCAAAGCAGTCCATGTTTGGCACTACTTTACAAAAATCAGTTTTCCAAAACGATTTGCCGAATTTGAACTTTTTGGTGATTTATCGGTCTTGCATTGCACTTTGTGAGATCAGATTCAGAACCGTGACATTTGAGTCCGAACTGTAGCACAGAAGCCCTCCCGAGCGCGTCTACAAGGGAGATCTCACTAATGTTCAGTTTTTCGGTTATACCTTAGTGAAAAGGTTATTGAGCCCTCTTTGTCTCCTCCCCAAAATCAAATTGTGAATTCCAAGTAAAATTAGTGGAGAAAAGCAGCGGAGTGTTGCAAGTGAAATTTCCATATAGGATGATCCTCTCGGTAATAGTTTTGGGGTAATTATCACCCCTGATTCTGTCGATGCCGTATATGCCTCTTTTAAATATAGTTTCAAGCAAAAGAACTCCCACTTTAAGTTTTAAAAAGTGAAATTTGAAGATAGAATTTCGCAGTCAAAACCCTTTTATTTATAATATGTGTAGAAGTAGAGCTTTGGCCCATTATTTTATATTTTATTTTCATCCTTCAGTTGATGACCATGCGATTTTTATGTAATTGATAGGTACTTGCAAGAGAGGAAACAGTTCGGAGTACCATTGGCAGCTTTCCAAATTTCCTAGCAGAGACTAGTTCAAATGTTGGGTAATATTCAAGGAATGATTCTGATGGGTTGGCGTCTTTGTAAGTTGTATGAGAAGGAAACAATGATTGTTGGTCAAGTTAGTTTAGGAAAGGTAAGAAATGAATTTTTATTGTAGGGTAAATTTTTTACTTAAAATTTGCCTACACTTTTAGTCAAATTTTAATTTGGTCCTTCCATCAAATTTTTTGTTAAATTTTTTTGTGCGTACACTTCAGGAGATTGATAAGTGTCCTAAAATTGTTAATTTGAACCTTCAACTTGAACATAAGGACCAAATTGAAACAATATTGAAAATATAGGGACCAAATTATTCAATTTGAATCAAACTAGAGAGGTGAAAAGTATAATTTAACTATTTTATGTCGAGGTGATACTCTTGCCTGATTTAGCACTGGTGACAAATTTTCTACATTGTTCAGTCTTGGATTAGCTTGAAAGCAAGGGAGACTGTAGCTCTTGGGCGGGAGTTACTTGGTGGCAATGGAATCTTGACGGACTTCCAAGTTGCAAAGGTTTTCAAACATATCTTAATTTCATATCTTTCCCTTTAACTTGAGCTGTGAAGGATTGGATTTTGAGTTTTCTAGATTTTGATGTTTAGTGCCTTTTTATAGCTAAGATTCCTTGAATGATAAAAAATAAGATCTTAGACACTTCATGAAGAAAATAACAGACAAAAAAGGAATAGGTTCTAAAGTTATGTGTTTATTGATATTCAATCCAAAAGTGAAATAGGATATGAATTCATACTTGTTTATTAAATCTTATTGGCTTATTACTACCGACAAGAGTATGAAATCAAATGATGTTGTGAAATTTATTGTAGGAGAATGATGCAATGTACACAGAATGTGTTTTTATTTTGAGAATCCTTTGCACATAATTCAAATCATTGGATTGAGAATAGTTTTATCTAATTTATCATGTAATGGTCCTTGGATTGAGGATATTAGTTATTTTATTCTTGACGAGCTGGATAGGAAGAAATTCTCATGTCTGGTTTTTATAGTAGAGAATAGAGATGGAGTTTAGAAGAAGCCATCAACTATAACCCCAAAAGAACCCTAATTCCTTAAACAATTAATGTAGAGGAAGAATGATGGGACCCTATGAATTCAATAATTTCTTGATTAGAAAAAAAAAAATTTAATGGCTAACCTCCTCCCATTAGGTTTTTTTTTTTTTTTTTTTTTTTTTTTTTTTTTAAGGTTTTTTTCTTTTTTTTCAGCACTTTGCGAGATCAGATTCAGAACCGTGACATTTGAGTCCGAACTGTAGCACAGAAGCCCTCCCGGGCGCGTCTACATGGGAGATCTCACTAATGTTCAGTTTTTCGGTTATACCTTAGTGAAAAGGTTATTGAGCCCTCTTTGTCTCCTCCCCAAAATCAAATTGTGAATTCCAAGTAAAATTAGTGGAGAAAAGCAGCGGAGTGTTGCAAGTGAAATTTCCATATAGGATGATCCTCTCGGTAATAGTTTTGGGGTAATTATCACCCCTGATTCTGTCGATGCCGTATATGCCTCTTTTAAATATAGTTTCAAGCAAAAGAACTCCCACTTAAGTTTTAAAAAGTGAAATTTGAAGATAGAATTTCGCAGTCAAAACCCTTTTATTTATAATATGTGTAGAAGTAGAGCTTTGGCCCATTATTTTATATTTTATTTTCATCCTTCAGTTTATGACAATGCGATTTTTATGTAATTGACAGGTACTTGCAAGAGAGGAAACAGTTCGGAGTGCCATTGGCAGCTTTCCAAATTTCCCAGCAGAGACTAGTTCAAATGTTGGGTAATATTCAAGGAATGATTCTAATGGGTTGGCGCCTTTGTAAGTTGTTTGAGAAGGGAACAGTGACTATTGGTCAAGTTAGCTTAGGAAAGGTAAGAAATGAATTTTTATTGTAGGGTAAATTTTTTACTTAAATTTTGCTTACACTTTTAGTCAAATTTCAATTTGGTCCTTCCATCAATTTTTTTGTTAATTTTTTTTGTGCATACACTTCTGGAGATTGATAAGTGTCCTAAAATTGTTTATTTGAACCTTCAACTTGAACATAAGGACCAAATTGAAACAATATTGAAAATATAGGGACCAAATTATTCAATTTGAATCAAACTATAGGGGTGAAAAGTATAATTTACCTATTTTATGTTGAGGTGATACTTTGCTTGATTTAGCACTGGTGACAAATTTGCTACATTGTTCAGTCTTGGATTAGCTTGAAAGCAAGGGAGACTGTAGCTCTTGGGCGGGAGTTACTTGGTGGCAATGGAATCTTGACGGACTTCCACGTTGCAAAGGTTTTCAAACATATCTTAATTTCATATCTTTCCCTTTAACTTGAGCTGTGAAGGATTGGATTTTGACTTTTCTAGATTGTGATGTTTAGTGCCTTTGATAGCTAAGATTCCTCGAATGATAAAAAATAAGATCTTAGACACTTCATGAAGAAAATAACAGACAAAAAAGGAATAGGTTCTAAAGTTTATGTGTTTATTGATATTCAATCCAAAAGTGAAATAGGATATGAATTCATACTTGTTTATTAAATCTTATTGGCTTATTACTACCGACAAGAGTATGAAATCAAATGATGTTGTCAAATTTATTGTAGGAGAATGATGCAATGTACACAGAATGTGTTTTTATTTTGAGAATCCTTTGCACGTGATTCAAATCATTGGATTGAGAATAGTTTTATCTAATTTATCATGTAATGGTCCTTGGATTGAGGATATTAGTTATTTTATTCTTGACGAGCTGGATAGGACGAAATTCTCATGTCTGGTTTTATAGTAGAGAATAGAGATGGAGTTTAGAAGAAGCCATCAACTATAACCCCAAAAGAACCCTAATTCCCTAAACAATTAATGTAGAGGAAGAATGATGGGACCCTATGAATTCAATAATTTCTTGATTAGAAAAAAAAAATTTAATGGCTAACCTCCTCCCATTAGGTTTTTTTTTTTTTTGGTTGAAGGATTTGCTTCATTGATTCAGAGAGCAATCATGTGGGCTCCTTTTAATGTGGCAGTTCTTCAACAATTGAGTATTCACTGTGATCTATTAATACTTTACATGCTTCACATCCGTGTACATTGCATAATATTCATCGGTTTCAAAATGATTCTATGGAATGTCATTTCTAGCTTACTTTTGGTAGGCCAGCAATGTACATATTTACATTATATATTTGCTTTTAGTTTGTATTTTGTACTGTTGCCCTTGGCTCCATTCTAATTTGTTGGCTATTTTAACGAACCATTGACCTATAACATTAACATTAACAGTCTCATTGTCGAATGTTTTATAGGCATTCTGTGACTTGGAGCCGATTTACACAGGTGAAGGCACTTATGACGTCAACACATTGGTTACAGGCAGGGAAATCACCAAGATTTCTAGTTTCAGGGCAGAGTCGCCTGTAATGTTATCGAATACTTTTCTTTTAGCTAATACATAAGTATTTTGAGAAGATAGTTAAAAGTTAGTTTTTTTACTTTTTTGGGGTTTTTGACTTTTTTATGTGAGAGGAGAAGTGGATTAAAAATTGAGAAGTGGCTTTGAATCCACTTCCCAAAATGAGCTATAATAAAATGTCTTGCTTCTTGCTAGGGGTGGAACTACATAAATCAAATAAAGAAACAGTTGTTTGATTACACCTATCTTTGTTAAATTTATTTAATTTTTTTATCAGCAAAAATCAATTGTTAGATTAGTAATTTGAGGAGATTGAACTCCCAACTTCTCTCTTATAAGTATCTAAGTGCTGCTTCCATACCACAGGGCCACATGCATTTGATTACACCTACTTAAAATGCTTATGTTATTTTATTTATTTTTGGATAACTTACGTTCACCTCTTTTAAAATTAGAAAAAAATATAACAAATTTTATCATTTTCGCATAATTATACTATACAGATAGTGTGGAACACAATGATAAACAAGGAGAGTTTTGTGGGTTTGGTATTAGCTTGTCACATTCAACATCGTTGGATTTGGGACTGATTTTGCATGAGACTAATTGATGATAAAAATTGTGAGTAATTATTCTGTATTTCGATAATTTTAAGTTTGACAATTTGCCCATCAAATAACAAGAGGCTATGGTTCGAAAAACAAGAAACTTAGTGGAAAAAATCTAAAAAATCTCGTTAGACAAGCACGAAATGATGTCATATACAGAATCTATATAATAATTTTTACAAATCCACATGGAGAGGCTGAAAGAGTGCACAGAAACAAAACTTTTTGCCATTGTTCTCCAATTCCATTTCTAGACATTATTGTGCGGTGGTTTGGATAGTTGGTAAAAAGTTAATTTTTTGATAATTTTTTTGGTTAAGAAAGTTAGTTCTTTTGTATTTTTTTTGTGATAAAAAAGTTAAAAGACTAAAAAGTTAACTTTTTACCAATTTTTCAAATTGTCCCACAATTTAGTTCCAGTTTTTTAAATTCAGTTTTTTAAAAATTGAGTTTTTTTATTTTTAGTGTTTTTTTGCTTTTAGTGAATATTTTTAAAATTTTAAGTATTTTTTTTACTTTTTTAGATGCTCCTTACTTAGATGTATCTAAATAATAAAATATTTGTGAAAAAAATATTTTAAAAAATTAATAAATACACAAAAATACGAAAAATATATTGCATTTTTATATTTTTGGTATTTAGTAAATTTTGTAAAGATTTTTTTCACAAATATTGGACTTTTTAAATGTAATTACGTTAGGTATGTCTAAAAATTTTTAAAAAAAATGTTTAAAATATTAAAAAAATTCATTAAAAACAAAAAAAAATACAAAAAATAAAAAAAGTAGAATTTTTTAAAAAGTATTTTCTGAAAATCAAAACCAAACAAGTTGATTATTTTTTATTTTTTAAAAAATTTACTTTTGGGCTAAAGGTTTTTAACATGATTCCAAACAAGTTTTTTTTTTTTTTTTCCAAGCACATAAGAGTTAGAGTAGAATGAAAGGCATTCGCCATGAGTCATTATTGTGTAATTATCTTCTTCTTCTTCTTTTTTAATACAGAGAAAAAGAGTCGTTATTGTGTAGATGTTATCAATCAATGCATATGTATCATCATGCCAAAAATCAAGCAATTACTTTCAGAAAAAATGGCTCTTTCTCTTCAGTTTTTACTCTTTTTTTTTTTCTTTCCATTTGTAACTAAAAAGTACTTTTCAGGAGCTAAAAACATTGCGTGATTAAAACTAAGGCAACATCATTGTCAACTCTCAGCGACAAGCTTGTCTCCTTCCTATCTCACTCCATTAGCAGTAGATGTTGATGCTAGCTCACCCTAGACCAGTAAAGAGTGTTTTTATTTTTGCAACTTTTGTCTTAATATATTCTTAATTATAAAATTTAGTGAGAGTTTCAAGATTAAAAAAAAAAAAAATGATGCATGAATATATGACTAGAAAGTATAATTGGAACAAATAAATTTAGGCTCTGTTTGTTTTGTTACTCATTTTCCTTTGTTTAATTAAACAAAACGTAAGTAAAGCATTCTTTAAAAAAAAATATTTTGAGTCATAATTCTTAAAACAATTTACCATTAACTTACAATCATGTGTGATTAGTGAGCGGCCTTTCTCATGGAATAGGTATACATATTATTTTGGCACTTGCAATATTTGCGATACCACTCACGACCCACGTGTCAATCAAGTTTGATCGGCAAAATGACTGGCTCAATTGCCAATCTCTCCTTCTCTTATTTCATGACCAATGTCTTTTGATTAGGATTTTTGCAATTTTTTTGTCTCGACAAGTATGTTGGTACACCTTTCTCGACCATTGATCTTATTCAATTGACCCCCCAATTTTTTTTATTTTTTTTTACCAGCTAGTCTTCATTTTGGTTTAGTCCTTTCTTACAAGTTTTGCATTATGTGTTTGTTTTCTACCACAGTACTACTTTCAAAAAAATACAAATGACCATCTAATATGTGATTAAATTATTATTTTTTTTTATTTTTTATTTTTTATTTTTTATTATTTTTTTTTAATGTGGTTGGATCTATACTCATGGCTTAAGGATTATTTTGAAAATATAGTTAAAAATTAGCTTTTTAATTTTTTTAACTTTTAAAAAAAAAATAAAAAATATAAAAAATAATATAACCTAAAATGAGTTGAAAATTAGAAAGTAACTACTAACTTCCTTGCCAAAAGAGCAAATAAAAGGGGGTGGATTGAATCAAAAGCCTCTAACATCTTATGCATATGTTGTTCTGTCCAAGTCAAGTACCTACACATCCTTCTAGGGGTCCCCAGAGACTGTCAATAGAACTGAGCAATGATGAATTAACAATGTATATATAACTAACATTCTAGGACTAATAGAATTGCCATCCCATATTTTCAAGCAATAGTTTTCCACCCATAACAAGGCTACAGAAGGACTGAATGATTTGAATCTAATATCAAAAAGTCCAACAGCTGATTTGATTTATTAATTAATTATTATAACCAACACGAGACAGCTACATATTTATAGTTCATAATAATTAGTAGGTAATTTCATTTTTTAGGGTAAATTATAAATGGAAAATTTACCAATAAATCCTACATGTTGATATATAATCCAATTAGTCCCATATGTTTTCTAGTGCTCCGTTTAGTCCTATATGTTGTCAAAGGACGCAATTGCCATTAGTTGTTGTGTAATGTTTGTTGTGCAGTCGTCTGCGCATGTGGCACAGATGAGGTAGAACGGCATGAGGTTTGTCACGTGCCACACAATTGACTGTCACACACCCAAAAAGTTCACTAAGGGTTTTTGTAGAAGACTATTGTGGTTTTTGATTGCCACGTATTCCACATATTGAAAACCCATACCCATTAAAACACAACCCGATTTCTGCATCCACATCCCCACACACAGTACAATGGAAACGTAACATAGAAAACCCCCGTTTTTGGGATTTGCTGGGATTTGAAATTTGGGATTGACTGTATATACCGTCACGTGATTTGGGGGGGAATAATAAAGATTGAGTGGGCAATTTCCATTGTTGTTGTGATTATTTGGGCAAACGTATTTGTGACAGGGTAGATCGTGGACGACGACGAAACCCTAGTATTCATATTCCGCAGTCGTTGGTTGTGGGCGTATAGTTATGGCCAAAAAGGGTATGTCCCATATCTTGATGTAGTTAGCGTTGTGTGACAATGTGGATCGTGAGTGTTTGATTATTCTTTCTGATTACACTGTTGCAGTCATTTTTTTTTTTTTTTTTCGATTTTTCATTTGGGGTTATCTATGTCGTTGATTTGTTATGTGTATTGTGATGTTGTTTTTGTGTGTTGGGATGGGTTGGTGTTGGTGATGTTGTGGGGAAGATTGTACTTGGTTGTGGGTATAGGGTTTGTGTGGGGTTTGTGTGTGTGTCATGTGTCGGTTAAATTGTGGACAAGTAGTTGGCATGGGGGGACACAAAATTGGTTGGGACCACAAAACTGGAAGATAATGATGTGTTGTGTGGCTGGGATGGGCGGGGTTTTGTTTTTTTTTGGGTGTGTGTTACTTTCTGACGTTCATAAGGTTTTTGTTTTTTTCATGTTTGTGAACGTAGTGCACATATGTGGGGTGTGGGTGTAGGGTGTGTAATGGTGTTTGGTTTTTATTTTGTGATTGTGTGTCGTGTTGCTGGGATTTGTGAAACGAGTTGTGAAATACGTGTGAGGTACTGATGTGGGGGATGATGGTGTGAGGGTTTGGGAATGTTGTAGTTTGTGGGTGTTGTCGAGGTGGGGAGGTATTGTAGTGGTGTCAGTAAGTGCGTTTATATCACAGCTATGGTGTGTTGTGTGACTGTTACCTTGTTGACAAGTAAATGGCAAGGGGGAAAAAATGTTTGTTGGGGTGATAATAGTGGATGAAACTGGTGTGGTTGGTATGGGTTGGTCGGGGGTTGTGTTTTGTTATGGGTGTCATACACGTTGGTTGCATGTGTGTGATCGTGGTGAACGTGTGTGGGTTAGGGGTGCGGCTGGAATAATGAAATTTGGTTTTTTTTTTTTATTGTGAATGATTGTCGTGTTGTTGTGAATTGTGGGACGAGTGATATGTTGGTGTTAAATGTGTGTCCGTCAGTTATGTGGTTTGTAGTATGGGTTTGCGTGGCGTAGAGTTGAAATGGTGTTGTTGACAGTACTAATGCTAGTAACGTTGGTTGTGTGTAACTTACGTATGGCGTAAGGGGTGTGTGTTCTAGTTTTTTGGTGCATTACATTAGTGATTAGGGGTTGGTGGTATGTTTGTGAGGCATATGTGGTTGTTTGTGTGTGCTACCTGTGGTTTTTTTTTTTTTTCAGATTGCGGAAGGGCAAGTAGTCCGTGGACACGTTCATGTAAACGGAGAAAGGCTGATGAAGGTAATGGTTCAAAGGGAAACAACCTGGGTATGAAAATGCAGGGGCGCATTTTGTTCAAGCAGTCGAAAGGGGTGAGCAATGCAGTTGGACG